TGTGGCCCTGGGGAAGCACTTGCACAATTACGCTTTCACAATCATATAAGTAAATAGGTTTCTGGCCCAAGTGTATAAATATCAAAATACCATAGATGATGATGATGATGATGATGATGATGATGATGATGATGATGATGATGATGATGATGATGATGATGGTGGTGGTGATGGTGGTGGTGGTGCCCCCGGTGGTGCTGGCTGCCGAACATGCTCTCCTCGTTGGGGTATCCCGCTATGATGCAAGAGGAGGACGAAGCGGAGAGCTCCGGGTAGGACATGTGGTCCGAGCGGCCGTGCAAGGCCAGGGCAGACTGGGAAAAGGGGTGCAAGCCCTGGCCGGGGGCATGGTGGGGGCTGCGCAGGCAGCCGAACAGCGTGTGATCCATGGCATGCACCGAGGCTCCGCGCGGCGGCACCGCAGCCCAAGAACGCCCCGGCGGCGGGTCAGGGAGAGGAAGCACGACGCTCCTCCGATCTCCTCCCAGCCAACCCCAAAGCCAGCACCGGCGGCAGCAGCAGCGCGCTCAGCGGTAGTAATAATCCAGGGCTCCAACGATCCCGGCCGTGGCCAAAGCCTCGGATGTTCACTCGAGCGGGCGCGGTGTTCGCCGCCGGCAGCAAGGAGGTGGTCCCACGCTAGCGCTCCGAGGGAGAAGCGGATCGCCGAGGTTATAAATACAGGAGTGTGTAACGTGAGCCGGGGGCTGGCTTAGCTTGCACGGCACTGACCACATGCGAGCAGCCTCCCAGCGCCAGCCCCGCGGCAGCCACACCACCGGCGGACCCGCAGCTCCCCTCGCCCTGACCCCGGCTCAGGCTCAGCCGGCCAGCCTTGCCCTGCGGGGCTCCGCTTCACGCGCGAATTGCAGAGGCGAGGCTGGTGGACGGCCGCCAGGTTGGGGTGGGAAGAAGCTGGGCAGCATCCCATTGAATGGGGAGCAGGTGAGGGGCCTGCCCGCTTCCCTCAGTGGACCCAGACCCAGTGGCACTGACTCATCAGAGAGGGCAGCAGGCTGGCAGAAGCAGCAGCTACCTCCGCTACCTCCTCCAGGGCCCAGTGCTTCCTTGCCAGGGAAGCCAGCGGAAGAAGAGGATGTGGTGCAGGATCTGCCACCTCCATTCATTCGTCAGCCTTTTCTCTTTCTCTTTGGGCATCAGGGCAGCCCAGAAACAACAACAACAAAAAAGAAGATAGTAGCAGCAGTCCTTGGATGGAAGAGCCACTTCCATCTTGCCTACTTCTCTTTGGAAAGCCAAGTGATAGAAGCTGGGCAAAGTGGGGGTGGCTCTTCACTAGAGCATCTGCTGCTTTACCTCTCTAATCTATCCCTCTCTCTGGACAACAGGGAGGAGGTTGACACTGGATCTTTTAGGAGGGGTGAGTAAGAAAGAGCATGTGCCTCTTACTTGCTTAGCATCATGGTGTGGCCTTTCTTGTTACAGGCCTTCTCACTATGCCATTCAGGGACCAGCTAAGCTTACAAAGCACAGCCTGAACTTGGTTGCACTACTTAACAGGGAAAGAGGAAGACCAACAAAAGATGGATTGACTGAGTCAAGGAAACCACAGCTTTTAGTTTGCAAGATTTGGACAGGGCTGTTAATGATAGCAGCTTCTGGAGGTCACTAGTTCATGAAGTCACCATAAGTCAAAAGTGACTTGACAGCACACCGCAACAAACTTTCCCTTTATACAACATAATGGTGGGGAATAAGCCCAGCACATTGACAGTTGTCCTCATTTTGACATCCAGAATGAGGTGACTGAGCAGACAAGTCAGAGATGACAACTGCCCTTGTGAGGACTAACCCCTGACTTTGTTTGCTGATCTCTACTTATCTTCTGATACAGAAGACAAATGAGCCCACTAGACCCAATTGTTACTGCACTGCCCAGAAACAGAGGTTGAATAAATGGGCAACACTTCCTGCAAGGCCTAGTCTCCCTCTCCTTGCACACTTTCTCAGCACTATCCACTACCTTTTTCACTTTGCTAAGAATTTTATGATCTTCACTCTCTTGTTCATTTCAAGAGAGTCCTGAGACAGTCAAACTTTATCTCCATTATACAGATTATACAGATGTCACACTGAGGTTTACATTTCTGTTGACTGAGGCAGGTTACAGAAAGCAATTTACTTCAAGAAAGGAAACAGAACTCCTATACAGATGAGTACCTGGGATAATAACACATGCCCATTTACTGCAGCATGTATGCTCACAGCAGGAAGGCTTGGAGAACTGTAGCTTCCCATCACAGACACATAGAGTTAAAAACCTATATTCATAGTCATCAGATGATTCAGCCTACACATGGTTTAAAAATTTATGCAGGGGAACTGAATGTTTCCCCAAATACCATTGAACGTGTTGTTTATCAAATGAAACAGCAGCACCTCAACACGCACACGCACACACGCACACACTTCTGTGGCAAGCTATTTCTAAACTAGAGGGGACTTTCAAAATAGGATTGTGGTATAATTTTTAAGGCTGCCAAAAGAGATTTTGTCCCATCGATTGCACAAAAACCCTTTAGCTTGCCTAAATTTGAATCTTGTTTTTCATTTCCCAGCAATGCATTTACTAATGTGGGGTGTGGCTTTATGAAATGTCCATTTCTTAAGCTGGAAGGCAGTTTAACATTGTCATGCCCATATTAAATAACAGATCTACTGAATCCAGCAACTTGAAAAAAATAAGGTATACATCCTCACATACTGTAATGCCAAAATCTATGGAGAAAATTCTGCATGAATATGCAGTTATCAAGTTTTCTTCCACTGGCAAGTACAATTGGCAAGTAAAATTCTTGCCCCCTTCACCTTCCCAATGGGGCTTTTTTTTAAATAAATAAAAAATTTTTCCACAGTAATACGGTTAAGGGCAAAATCCTAATATAGTTATTTCAGAGTAAGCTTCCAGTGCATCAGCCTCTCGGTGCCTCTCAATAAATCTAGAGAGGATTGTGCTGCAGTACTATGAGGTGAGGTGGGAACTAGGAGATAGAAAGTTTGTGAATCAAAACTTGTTTCAGTGTTGAACTTATAGGATGACCTTAGGGAAGGTACTGTCTCCAGCCTAAGCTCTCCTCCCCTCTTAGCAATATGGGAATAATAATATGAACTGAATTTATTGCTAGGTTACAAGGATTACTGAGGCAATGTACGTGATGTGCTGTATAAATGCTGAGTATTTCTTTTTCCTGGCTTACTATTAGACTTCTCAGTCGCTGCTGCTTGAATGGATGGTTGTACAGTAATTTTACAACAGTTTTGAGATTGGTTTTGAGTGAAATAAATTTATGCTAAGCCTTTTCCATTCTCTTGCCCTGATAGCAATTGTCACAAATTAAACACAAGGCTATTTTAATAACCACCAGGAATGCTCACTTTCACTCAAAGCATTATGCTCATTTCATTTCATAATAATCAGCCATAAAAATTATCATTCCACATATGCTGGTATTACAACAGTGGAGGTATTGCTTGTTTCTCATTTTGAACTTCCTTAATTCTGTGGACCTCAAGAAAGCAGGCTACAGCTTAAATTAAAGTTGAAAAGCAATGTCCTGGAGTACGCTGCTCGGTGTTTATCAAGAAGGTGGGTAATTTGGGCTAATATTTTGCTATGTGAAAGCGGGTTGTAAAGATTAGGCAAGACTTCCCCCAGATCAGGATGTCCCTCAGACTTGAGTGTCTCTCAGTAACCTCTCTAACAAGGATTGGCAGACACTCCAGTGCAATAGATCTAAATCCAAATGGACTAGAAATGAAGTTTCCTAGAGGATTGTAAATCTGCCTCTGGTCTAGTATGAGTCCTGGCCTGAGGCCTGTCAAGTGAATATAATTTCAACATGGCAAACAGCTGGTGAGTGTTTTCTTTACTATGCAGTTAAAAGTGTGGACAATGTATTTTGCAGCATCCTTGCTGCCAAGTGTCAATCACTTGATCACAGTCATGTCAGGTATGGTCAAGTATCACCTTTGTGGTTAGAGAACATCCATGGAATAGCATGGCTCCAACTGCAAACAGATTTCTCGGGAGAAAATTCTCTTGCCAAATGACAAAATTTAACTGTAACCTCCACTGACTTTCTCTGGGGAGGGGTATGGCTAGTGACCAAACTCAGCATCCTCTGACGTCTTTCTTTTGTGAATTCATCTCATTTCTCAAAAAGGTATGGTTTCTTGATCCATAAAGTCATAAGCAAAAAAAAAAAAGCATCACTCCACACACCCTCTTGAATTCCGCCTGCATCTGCTCTTCTGGTGTTCACGTCACAACTAGGAAACTACCTCTCCCCAAAACCCTGAGACAGAGCCTTTGAACGGCCCAGTGTTAATCAGAGAAGGAAATTTAGGGTCTGAACGCTTATTGTACTAGATGGGGGGGGGGAGAGATATTATTTGATTTGGGGACCTCGAGAAATTCTTGGCTGACTGGGCACCAGAAGTAAGTAAGTAAGTAAGTAAGTAACCAAAAAAGGGATGTTGTATCGCACTGCTTCTTAACCTTGGGTTACTCAGGTGTTTTTGGATTGCAACTCCCAGAAGCCTTCACTGCCAACTGTGCTGGCATCTGAGTAACAAAGGTGTCTTTGGATTGCAACTCCCAGAAGCCTTCACTGCCAACTGTGCTGGCATCTGAGTAACAAAAACATCTGAGTAACAAAGGTTAAGAACCACTGTTGTATCGTACGTTAAAGTTTGGAAAGCAAATATAAACTGGAAAACGTTTCCAGCCTCCCAGGCAGAGACTCGCGGCGCCTGGACGCGCGAGGCGCAGGGAAGAAAGCGAGATATATTGAGCGCGAAAAGCGCGGGAACCGTTTCCCGCCTTAAGCGAGGAGGGACGGATTTCCTCACCGGCAGAACCAGGTTGGCCGTGAAGAGGTTTGCGCACCCCGCGGCTGTCGCTGATATTCGTCTTCTTTTGGTCGCTTCCCCTCTTCGAAAAAATAAGGGGAAGCGACCCTTTTCATGCCCCAAAGAGGTTTTCATGCCCCAAAGAGGTTTAAAAGCGAACCAGCCGTATTTTCAGCCCCATGTCCCTTTTCTCTGCCGGAGGAGACTCGGGGTCCTGGCAGAAGAAAAGAGAGGTTGTCAAAATAAATGTTCGTGCAAAATACTCGACCGTCTCCCAAGAGTCTTCGGAATTCCAGTGCCTGGATCGCGTCCACCGAAAAAGCATATCGACACCCTAATTCAGCGGGGAGCAAATCATAGGGTTAGGAGAGAATCCATAACAATTTAATGGACTCAACGATATGGCACCGACAGAGACATACACACACAAACACACATACACCGGTGTCCATGAGGAAAGCTTATTTTATTCCCTTTGGTGGTGCTGTTTGTGTTATCTCAGGTGTCTGGAGAGACGTGGATGAGGCTTCAAGAGAGCCAACGGCGGTGACAAGAGATAGTTGACGTTAGGATAGATAAACAAACGATAGTTAGGGCAACGGAGTTTGTCCTCTTCCCTCTCCCTGCTTCTTCCTCTAAACGTTACAATATTATTAATAATAAAATCCAGGATCTTGCGTGCCATTCGAGGAGATGCAAAATGCTCCTGTGTGGTGAAAACACATGCACGCACACATACGCTCAATTCGTTTTCGTCTGCCATTGGGGAAAAGGGGGGGGGGCTGTATGAGATTTGCAAGAGGTAGTTGCTTAAACGGAAATTGAGTCCTATTTTGTGGGAAATTAGTTTTGCAGACTTTCTTTAGAAGGGGGGGAAAAAACTCCTGAAAGTTTTGTTCAGCAGCTGCTTCAGT